AAATTGCATAGATCCGTGACCTTTATATATTTATTAATAAAATATATAATTAATTAATTAAATTATAAACAAATTTTAATGAAAACCTAATTTTCTTAAATTTAAAACATCAAACCTTAATTTTGAAATTATGATACTTAAATACCTTATTTATGTATTGTTCCCTTATTTAATTTGCCATGTGGGCCGATATATGTAATTAATTATGTATAAATGCTATCTTAAAGTTAAGCCCAAAATTAAAGTGATCTAATAAGGAATTAAGTAATTGGGTTTTGAGCATCTAAATAAAGTGTGGACCTGAATCGTCAATTGGTTGATCAGTTGTTTACGACTAGATCAAAATTGTTGTCATGAACGTTCTGCGCAACGCTGCATCCCCCTTTTCACACAATTTTCATAAGAAACAAATGAATAAATCAATTTTTTAAATAAAATGAAAACAATTTATGATATTGATAAGCCATGCCTAGATGATATCTCTTAGATATTGATAAATAACAATCTGTATCTGCATACATGCCAGTACATAATACAAACTGTACTGATCTTTCTCTTGATGGGCTTCAAAACTAAATTCATTTTTCCATCAAACATGATTACTAAGTGTCCTTTGCTGTTCGTCAAGCATAAGATTTAAATAAATACACGTGCCCTCTCAACACCTTAAGCTAATCAAAGCCTACAAAAGACCTCAATTTCAATCTCTTCACCACCCATTTATGAAAAACTGTACACACGCCAAACAATTGATCAGAAAATGAACTTGATTAACATGTGAAAGGGTGTGTTGAATGCAATAGGTCGTTAGCAGTATTCTATCTCTCAACACACAATAACCCTTTGATCTATTGAATTCTTAGCTTCAAGATTCATTTCAATGGAGAATATGAGAAAATTATAGGGACAAAAAGGAAATTTACCCTAACATCATAATCTGGCAAAGATGATGATATAAATTTTAGGAGAGTCATACCTCAAAAGTTAGCTGTTGAAGTTGGAAAGTCCAAGTCTATATAAACCACACCAAAAACCCATACTTTTGATGTGAGATTTAAGTCTCGTACCTTGCAATGGGAACTATGACAATCCACTATGTTGCGTGATCCCTGGCGGGTGCAACCTTATCGAAACGTGTAACTCATGACTAGTCCCGGACGAACACCGTTATGCCGACGTCACCATCTGTGCCGCTCAATTGCAACTGGAACATGTGGTGTCTGTTCTAATACTATTGATATAGATTTTAAGAAAGTCATGCCTCAAAAACTAGTTACTGAAGTTGGAGAGTTCAACTCTATATAAATCACACCGAAAGCTCACACTTTCGATGTTGAATTTAAGTCCATACCTTACAATAGGAACCATGACAGATGATTCTAGGAAAAAGATTAAGTTTTCAACCTTGAGGAAACAACCATCATAGTGAACACAGTCAGTGTGATGAGTAAAAACAGCCAGGCGTTTGAGTTTTGATATAATTAAAGCAAATTTCACCATCTTTCGACATATCCTCCACATTGTGCCACGAAAACGTAGTTAGGTCACCAGTGGAACTTGTTTCCTCGCATGGTTTTTTACATGGAGGCTATCATCTTTGAATAGTTTTCATTGAATTGAGAAACATTTTGTGCATGCTGTTGTCCACATTTCTTGGAAACTAATTCTATCCGAGGATTTCCCATTGTTGAATGGATCAAAAATGAGCTAAAGGGAATCACCGAATCACGAACAAAAGAGAATTTGCCATCAAAGAGAAAATGTTACAGTGTTTCTTTGTTAAGGAAAGTACAGATGGAAAAAATCTGAAAATGCCCTTTTATGATTGTTGTTGGAGTATCTTACTCAAGTCTCCAACTCTTTTCGTCACAATTTCAATTAAATTAGCACTTTGTCAAAAAAATTCTATTAGCATCTTTAAAATGAAAGACAAATATTTTGTCAAACATTTGTACTCGTTGTTTTTACAAAATACGAGAGGTAATTTTCTTTACGGCAACCGTCATCATTAGATCCACAGTGTGCTAATTAATGAAAGGTTGTTGATAATAATAATAATAATAATAATAATAATAATTGAAGTGTGTGCAGAAGAACAAAGGTTATGACCTTTACTACAACTAAAAAGAGGTATACCAAGCATAACAAAAACTGTGGTACTAATATACATTATGACAATATTTTAGCATTGCACTATCGACATATCCACTACCATATTGAGAAAATTTTAAGAAATAATGTTTCATTACATATGTATTCGGCATGAGCACGGTCACCCTACACGACTAACCCTTTCGGAAGCCAATAAGAGACGTTTGGCGACCATTTTCAGCAGAGGCCTTTATTCTTTGAATAATGCTACATGTACATTATGGTACACATAATGGTGTCCATAATGTACATGTGGTGCTCCTCTATTGGGGGGAGTGCCTATGGGCCAGGTGCTTCCCTCAATAGGGGGGCGTCATATGTACATTATGGACACCATTATGTGTACCATAATATACATGTAGCATAACCCTTAATCTTTTTTATTAGAATAGAATAAGGTGTGGGAGAGAACAAATTCTTATTCCAAAAATATTTTTTTAGAATCAACTTGCTATTTCTCTGAGGTTCTATCATCATGACAATATTCATAGAAAAGATAACTCACATAAAAAGGGGATCAAAAATTACATTATCATCCGCAGTTTAAAAAAAATGCCTGCCTACTCAAAATTTTTCGCTGTGTTGCACTATACAATATTGGCAAAGTGCAGCATGCCAAAATGGGGCCATGTCTATAAAGCTTAATCGAAATGAAGTGAAATAGCCACCTAATGATACGATCTTCAATGCTCTCTATGCCAGGTTATTGACAAGGGCGGTAGTAACATTCACCTTGCCAAGGTTGATTCTTGCAACCAGATAGAAAGCTTAAGACTTCTGCTCTTCCACCAATGACATTACAGGGATCCCCTTGGTTGAGAAACTGGAGCATTTTACTTTCACCTCCTCGCCAACTTCAAAGTTTCTCTGAAAGCCGACCTGCGATGAAGAGAATAATTAAAATGGTGTTAATGAGAAACACCATTCATTCTCTCTATTTTCCTAGGTTTTGACCTGTCCAACTGAGTTCAACTACTCTCACNCCCCCCCCCCCCCAGGGGGGGGGGGGGGGGGGGGGGGGGGGGGCGGGGGGGGGGGGGGGGGGGGGGGTGAGGGCGGCGGCGAGGATGGATATAGGCGCATAGTGAAGGTTAACCGTAGATAATTTAACGACCAAGATTACAAAAACTTCTATTTCAAAAAGTGGACAGATATTGGGAACTCGGGGATTAATTGGAGAAATTCGATTTTAAAAAGACAGGGAAGCTACTTGAGCAGCAGGAAGATTTAGATAGGGAATAGTTGGTTCATTGACTCAGGTATCTATGAGTGCTACCTACTATTGGAGTTGAACCAATGACTTCTGCCTTGTGAAAGCAATACTCTAACGACTGAGTTAGAACGAGGAAATATACATGAGCTTAAAGTAGGTAAATATAAAGAAGTGATGAAGCAGGCATTACAGGATTGAAAACACGTGCAGAAAGTTTTATAATCATCAAAAACTTAAAGCTGATATTTGCTATAATAATAATTAGATAGCACTTACCTCAAATCGGTACATTCCACGAATACCACCACCCAAATCAAGGACTAATCCTCGTGCACGAACTTGATGGACCTTAGCTGTCATTTCCGTTCCAAGCTTTAGTTTCTTTGCACTCAAGGTGCCATCAGCTGTTGATTTATTAGCATTGCTCTCATCTTCATCATCTCTCACAAAGATAGCATTATTCTCAACAGGAGACTTTGCATTAGATTTTGACTCACTGTACGACCTCAAACTACGTTTAGACTTATTATTCAGGCCAGCAGATTTTTCCTCCTCATCACACTCAACAGCACTTCGGATAAAAACTCCAGATGTTCCTGATAACAAGGATGCCTCAGTGTCCAAGGGCTTGTCATCTTGATATTTTTTCTTGTGCACATTATCAACGGGATCCCAGACTTTAGGTGCTTCTTGTGCAGCAACTGAAACATCTTTCTTTGATCCTGGCCTAGGTAAAGTTGCTTTGAGAGATAAACTCACATTACCACGAACGTCTAGCCCAATGCACATCAAATTAAGTACTTTGCCTACGGATACCACGTCAGTAACTCGGGACACCTGATAGAAATAACACACCAGAGAAATTGAGAAGCTATGGGAGAAAATCCCCTATAAGATGACTGCATACATAAAAAAATATGCATGCTGAATGTCACAAAGGCACACACTGGTTCATGGGAGAGCTCAGAGATGTGCAGGAGACCCTGTTGGCCTCCATTGAACTCAACGAAGGCACCATATTCTTTGATTGAAGTAATGACGCCTTTGTAAATCCCTCCCTTTTCAATCTCACGACCCACTATTAAATTAATCTGAGGACAGAATGAGATGGAAAGTCAATTTATGAAGTAAAGCTTATCAGAGAAAAATGAAGTAGAGAACGTACCAATTCATCTTGTTGACTGAGGTGAAGAAAACACATATAAAACAAGAATCTAGCACAAATATAGAGGAAATATGGGCCTAAACATTAAAGTTGGCAGAAAATCATATTGCTGGAATGAACTTCACATTACAGATCTTGCATGACATCTCTCATATGACCATCTCTAGGGATGAAAAAAGAGGCATGTCATTTTGCGCTCTCACAAGCAATATGGCTCTTAGTACAAATCAATAGAAATAATTGCAGAAGGTGGCAGTAACGATATAAAACACAGGGCTGTGATTGGAAAGTAAATCATTGCCATGTACATGGAGAAGAAAGCAACATAAAACCCTAGATAAAAGCTTAAAAATTATTTATGTATTTTTCTAACAAGGTCCAATTTATTATCAAGAAAAGAAACAGAAATGAGTATGTCCGATTTCTCAACACAGCCCAGATCAAATTTAGTAGATGCTGGACTCATAACCTTATTATGCTACATATAATATATTACTTACCGAAACAAGGTGAACAAAAATGTAAGTATTTGAGCAGACTAATCTGAATCAGGTAAGATATAAATATAATTTTTGGTCTAAAAATAGTGTCAGAGGAATTGTGTATACGCATCTGCATGCATGAATACAAACATAAAGGTATCTTGTACAGCAATTTATATCTAGATAGCAATGGACTCATAACCTTATTATGCTACATATAATATATTACTTACCGAAACAAGGTGAACAAAAATGTAAGTATTTGAGCAGACTAATCTGCATCAGGTAAGATATAAATATAATTTTTGGTCTAAAAATAGTGTCAGAGGAATTGTATATACGCATCTGCATGCATGAATACAAACATAAAGGTATCTTGTACAGCAATTTATATCTAGATAGCAATGTCCCGGACCTAGGGGAAGGAGGATTAGGAAAGGAATACTTTATTGCTTGAAGAAGGGCAATGTTTCCTGTTAACCTATTCATATTCAAAAGATGTGGTTTATACCACGCTGTGATGACAAAAATCTCAACACAGTACCAAAATTTCAAAACACAACCATATATCAGTGGCATGAGATGAACTCAGTTGACCATAAAGAAAGGGAACATCTTGAATTTCAATCAAGAAACAATATGCGTGAACAAAATACAATAGAAAGATACAAATAGAATACCTTTTCCGTCACTTTCTCCAACACTGATTGATTTTTTGCAACCAGGGTGAGGGAACCATCACTCACTGAAATTCGTGCACCTGCAGCATAATACTCTTGTCAAGAAGCTTACTATGTAATTGAAATCCACAACTAGGAGATGAACATAACATCTTGGACTTTTATAAGTACAGTTTCTTCTGCAACGATGACAGGTAACTAGATTAACAACATACAATCACAGATGATGATGATGATGATGATGATGATGATGATCATAATAATAATAATAATAATAATAATAATAATAATAAAGAAGAGAGAGCAATATGCTTGAATCATCATTCTAAAAAATACCTATAGTCCAGATAGTCAAATATTTAAGCAGGTTCATGATAGTGAAATATAAAAATACCACAAAATCATCAAGTTTTTCACAGTTTCAAGGGCCACAGAATCAGTATAAAATTTTCCCTTCAGAAGCATACAGAACACATGTTGATGTCTTTCATTAAAAATTGAACAATAAATACTCTAAGCCAATTCCCAAGAATTAATGGAAAAGGAGAAGACTTAGCCAATATCTACATATCCATGGATATGCAACACTACAAAAGCATAATAACTGACATGCTCCAAGAAAAATATCACATCTTAAAATAAAAAATAAATAAATAAAATTGATTCATGGACGATAATACTGATTACTTCCCTGTGGTAAGTTTTAATTTGGTTGGACACTAAGATGTGAATCATTTAATAAAAAAAATAGTAGTTTATAGCAGATCCTACTCTATGAAAGAAGCGCGTCAAAAAATTAGCAGGCGCTTGGTTCTTAACATGCACTATTCCCACCCTTATACAAGCCAAAGCTTGGTAAAGAGGATTTCTCTTCTTTGCTTGCAGCGATTAGAAGTCCGTCCTTCCTTTAGCCATCCAAATATTTCAATAACTATATTATTTCTCTATTATCCTATCTCCTGTATATCTATTTGATTAGTTTTGGTAAGGTATCAACCACAAGTGACAAGCCAGACATATCCATTCCTCCTAGGTGCAATGACATATATCCTCTAGCGAATTAACGCGACACAAATGTGAAGGTCAGTCTTTGACATTCAAATACCATCAACGTGTCAGGGGATGAAGCTTTAGTAGAACTATACAAAATTAATTTTATGGAAATATCTAACGTGAGATTACCCATGTACAATCCTTCATGATCCGAGTCTTGTATCTATGAACAAGAAAATCATTTTTCCCATGTGCATATGGCCTATTTAAAAAAAAAAAAGATTGTATATGACCACATGTGCCAATTTACAACATTTTATTATACTACCACAAAAATCATTAATACAAGGACTTGACGCATTTCAGAATCTAGTATTGGAGAACTCTTAAGCAAAATCATACCTGTTTCTTCTTCGATTTTCCTCTTCAAGGCACCAAGAGGACCAATCAGGCGGCGGATCGCGTCATTGCTATACTTCAAGGTCACTGCACCAACAGCCATGTGAATAATATTGGTAAATGCTAACCTTGTATTTTTCAAATCCTTTCTCACCAGAAACCACACAAAAAATATTGAAGCTAAGGTTACAGAATAACTTGTCTTTAGCATCAGAGAAAAGTAATGCCTATGCAATTGGGACATCTTACGTATGCGTGGGGAGTTTCTGCCATCCTGAGATCGTGCTACATTTATCTCTCGCTCCATTTGATCTAGGATTTGAACCCGGCCTTTATGTGCAGGTTCTAGACACTCACATATGATATCTAGAGGGATTCCAGCAGGTTTTATATCTAGCTGAATAGCAGTAACTCCATTCCGCGTTCCAGCAATTTTGAAATCCATGTCCCCCAGATGATCTTCCAGACCCTAGAAATTGTATAAACCAAAATTATATGGGGAGTGAGGTTAGGAATTCAAAACATTGTAAAACTATGGAAACCAGGAAGCATTTAAGCATCCAAGATCATATGATGGGCACACTAAGAAATGTAAATGAATTACAAGCCCAATGGGCAAGCAACAAAAACTTTCTCAAACTAAAAAATTATGACAATGTTAGTGTACCAAATCCAATCAGATAACTGGTAACAAAACAAAATGTGTTTGTACTCCATGTCCCAGAATTCAAACTGATTGAAACATAATCTGCGTTCTCTTGAGTTCGTGGCAAAGAGCCATTAGCACGCACTCTCGAGTCGAGTGAGAATCCTTTAGAGTTTAATTATAAAGTCCTATTAGTATAGGCATTCAAAAATAATTGAATTTATTAGAACTGTCTTCTAAGCATGAGACAAATTCTTGAAACCTTCCAGGGTTGTATTGCTTTTGCTTCCTTTCCTATAATATTTTCTTTCTTCAACTTCCTCTGCCTTTTTTCTTAAAAGTTTGTAGGTTCAAAATCTTAGTCCCACACATTGCCAAATATGAAATAAACCATCTCAGAAAGGCCAACCATTCACAACATAAATGCTCAATCTTTTCTGCTGAATCTCAGGCTTGGGGCGTAGGACCAAAAACAGCTTGTATAGCATTCAAAGCCAGGAGAACACAAAGGACATCTCTGTTGTGTTTCACAAAAAGAGAATATCAATACAAGCCAAAAAAAGTCCTCACCAAAATATCGGTTAAGATTCGATAGTCTGTGACTTCACCAGTAGATGGATCAACTTCACTAACAAGGCCCACTGACAAACCGGCCACATGTTCTCTCAATGGAATGCCAGCATCCAACAAGGCCATGCTGCCTGTAAAATAAGATACACGTTATGTCCTTCTGAATGTAATCTTTGTAGGGAAATATTCATAGGTAGACAAAGCTAAGAGCTGGAATCATTTTCATGAAAAAGCCGCAAGGATGTAATGCCCACTAAGAAGAGATCAAGTTCGCCACTCAGGAAGTGACATCCTGAACAGAGTCTGCGCGGATAGTGGAAACTTCTAAATAAGAATGCAGTCTGTAAGATAGCAACCTGCACAGACGGATGCCATTGATGTCGACCCATCAGATGCCATGACTTCGGCATTGATACGAACTGTGTATGGACAATCCTCTTCAGGAGGTAAGACAGCAAGCAGAGCTTTCTCAGCAAGAGTACCTGAGAAGTAAAGATTCAGTATCAACCAACCCACTTAAAATTATAATGGTCTATTACCCATTCTAATACGCTTTTTATTCATGGATGTGTTGAAGATAAGATTTAAATTATATGGATGTGACCCTAATAGCTTAAACTTTCAAATCAAGTTGGTCAACATAGAATCAAAGAATATCATGAGTTTAAGTCTCGCCGCCATCCATTTAGGATCCGTTCAATTGCAAGAATGGAATTGGTGAAAAGAAAATGAATTCTAGGGAATTGAATTGCCTAGAACTTGTTTTACTGAGAATTGTCAATTAATTGTGTTTAATTGGTATAATTTCCCACCTAAAAAATATTGAAATTTTGGATCTTTTGGCATTAGTTTGGCTTTGTTTTCCATGAAAAATGTTCATTAAATGGATATAATTTGTTTCCATTGCAAAAAAATAAATAAATAAATAAAAAGTTTCCTAGAAAAGCTTTTCCCACTAAACCCATGGGAAATGCTTTTCCTCAAAAACTAAGAAAATGTGGTAAACCAATTCCATGGAAAATTTAGTCAATCAAACATGCAAAAAGGTGGAAATTGATTTTAATTTCCATCTTCCATGGAAAAGGAAGAGCAATCAAACATGGCCTAATAGGAAAAATGAATTTATGATCGAATCACATTGACTCAATTTGGTATAAGAGTTCAAAAGAGTAATTTGATGTGTCTAAAGTTGAAGTTGAATTTCAAGATTTAGCTTTCAAACGAGTAATTATGTTTTGCTTATATACGAAAACAATAATTAATGAAAAAATTCGAGTTAGTCCTTCAATAACATTGATCCTTAAGATGAAACTTTAATATTCTATATGATGAAATGCTACTAAAGTCATACTCGATTCAAGTTTTCTACGAATTTTTTTTTAAAAAATTTGTCATTTTTTACCGTTGCACTTGTCATCAATTTCCATTCCTTTTGCAAGGTGGGACACAAATAAAGTGCAAAATTTTACAAAACAGTAGATTTTTCTACCTAAAGATGAGAAAAATGAGTGGAAACATTACTTTTCTTTAAAAGAATTAGTTGGCAAAGGAAGGTTGGTATGAATGGTGTATGATCCAGTCGTGCAATGTGGATCTCCGGTTATGATGAAGATCTGATAAATTATTGTGCAGTAAATAATCAATGCTATGATAATTTCATTGCAATAATTCATTTTGGAAAGAGGAGCACAGAGAATCCAAAGAATTTGCTTGCAAGNTCAAAAAACAGTGAAAAGGATGTTCAACGCACCAAAACCCCAAAGGTAAGGGCATAAATGCCAAAAAATGAAAGGTAAGGATGGTTTCCGAAATTCACTCCAAAGGTAGGGACGTTTTGTGCCAATTAGCCAAAAAATAATTATAAATTTGAGGCCGGTAAGCTGTGAGAGAGACAAATTAAAATCAAAGTCTGCAATAAGTCAAAGATAAAAAGAATAAACATGATGACAACTCAAAACTAGAGCAGTTCATATATATAAAGACAAATAAAATTCAGAGTTTGCAATATGTCAAAGATTAAAAAAAAACTTAATGCCAACTCAAAACTAGAGCAGTTCATTATATGACCGTGATATGCTTTTTCCTATCATAAGTATTCCAGTAGCTTACCATGCCCAACTTCACGTCTATTTAGGCCAACTCTTTTACCAACTTCATTGATGCAGAATGGTGGAAAACTATAATGAAGCATGAAACGCTTCGTTGGAGGACCAACCAGAGAATCCAAATGTTGAGCTTCTCCAGGCGCTCCAAGGGTGACAGTACAAAGAACCTGCATACAATACCATGCCAGAAATGATTAGGAAAAGAGCTGGCCAAAAAACGAGATTTTTTTTATCATATCTTTGAATGGTGAATTATCTCTTTCAACAAAATGGTGGATACAGGTGTACTAACCTGAGTATCTCCACGGGAAAAAAGTGATGATCCGTGTAATATGGGTAAATTACCAGCTTCACAATATAGAGGCCGAACTTCATCAAGACGTCTTCCATCAACCCTACGTCCTTCGCCAATTATCCTTCTACGAACAACCTGACATTTTCAGAAACTTAAGAATTCACAAACCTAATAAGATGTACAAACCAAAATGAAGAGAACATATCTAATGGAAGAAGAAGATATCTCAGAACCCTTAATTTCATTGACCCTCTCATCACTTTTGTCTTCAACGAGCATTTGCATTATACCATTGAGAAACCAATATTCGTTTTTAATTTCCAAATTTTCAAATTAGCTGTATTTTTACTGAGTTTGACCTAGAACAAAAATTTGTACATTTTTGTTGGAACCCATTTTTCTGTTTTCATTTTAAGGATTAGGTTCATTCTAATACTCTATCCTAAGAAACTAATTTCCACTTGTACAATTTCAAGGATTTCAAAGTCCTCTTACGGAGAAAGATTAAGAGTTCTTTTTTGGTCTTGTATCATAATTCAATCCAATTTTATTAATGAAATTTGGAAATAAAGCAAATTTATATTTTATGGAAATTGGTTGGAATGAAGGTTGAGCAAACACAATAGGCATGCGCATTTGCCTCTTTCTGAACAAGATATTTCAAATCCTATCAGCAACTAATACATTAAATAAAACAAAGATTTGGATACTGAACAAGTATTTGTAGGTACTCCACTTCTCCATCCACACAAGAGATAAGGGGAGAGGGAGGGAGGGTCTAGATGGAGATTCCTTTTCTTGGGGGCGGGGGACCTAATTTCACACTAATGCCCAAACCTGTTTCCGCACTGTATCAACTGTCTTGGATAAAAACTTTAGACCTTCTTCATCACATTCTTGCTCAAGTTCTTTTTTCACATCCTGAGTAATTCTATCCAATGCTTCTCCACGTTCAAACTGAACACAGGACAAAAGTATCAGGAGATATGAGTAGAGAACAGCACAAATCCCTCTATAGATGTTATTGCAAATATGGAGTGCACCTTGCCATATGTGGGATCTGTGAAGACAGCTTCAATGGGAGCTTCAGACAAACTCCTGATTTTGTCATATGTTTTCTCAGATACCATAGACAATTTATATTCCTTTTTCTGCTTACCAGCTTTTGCTGCCAGCCTTATTTGAGGATCAAGATATTTAATAGCCTGAAGAATCAAAGAAAATCATCGTAAAATAACTGCAGGGAATGCAGTGTCAATGAACACAGAGCAAACTCACCTCCGGATGAGCTAGTCTTAGTGCAGCTTCCAAGTCTTTTTCTGAAACCTCACGTGCTAGCACATCTATCATTAATGTTTTGTCCCTTGTGCATGCATACACCAAGTTAAGATCACTTAGGCTAAGCTGCATAACATCCAAAATGAATGTGCTTATAAATCAGAGTGAACAACATCACATCTTATTTTATAGCATGTGTCATATTGCATATATGGGACCCCAACATTTTTAAAAGCATTCTAAGATAAAAGTTACAAGATTGAGCAAACGGGCCAAGATAACTCGAATGGGAGTATCTAGTTTAATCAATTTTCCCAGTCTGCTTCCTTTTTCAATTTCCCACTCATATGAGAGCACCTAGCTTGATTAGCTTCTTCCTCATTGGTTCCCTCTTTAATGTCTCTTTCCTTTTTCTACTTTGTTACTGTAATCAATAAACTCTCTCATCTGGTAATATGAATTACAATATTTTCAATAAGAATGCTTTTTACCATAAAACTCTAGTTCATTTAAAATTCCAATAATAATGAGTCAACTGATGGGCCTGGTTAAGTTTTCAGAGTGGTTCAGGCTCCATCCAACAGCCCAAGCCCTAGGAAGGTTACAGTTGTACCTCCTAAACTTGCTCAAAATTTGGTTCATTTTCCAAAATTGAAACTCTCTTTTCTCAACATTGAACTGTCAGGGCAAACAAACATGTGAGATGAATTGTCCTCGAAAATTTTCTACATGAGATTTGTTAAATACAGTCACGTTATTTTTTACGGGAAAATTGCAGCATTAGTCCTCAACCTATTTCCTTAGTAGCAAACAGGTCCTCGTTTTATTATTTTTGACAATTATATCCTCAACCTATTGGTTATGTAGCAATTCCACTACTCACAGAATCTGTCTAATGTTGAATTTTTTTAATTAAAAGACAATTCCACCTAACTAACACAAAATAAATATAAATAAAACCAAAAAAATTATTGCACCAGTCATCCCCTTCCTTTCCAACGGACACCAACCCATCCAATCTTCTCCACGCTTCTTTCTCAATTTCTACTCATTCTCTCATTTCCCATTTCTGTCTCGAGGTAACCTTTTCACCAGCTTGCCGGCAGTGGAGATTGCATGAAGACATAAAACCCACCCACCCACCCGTCCATCCAAATCTCTCTCTCAATTCTGACGTAAAACCACGTGCATGTGAAGGTTTCATCACTTTCCCGCAGCTTAATACCCTCACCTTTGACCATAATCATCACTGTAAATCTTTTGCTTGATAACTCACTCCAATACAGGAATGGCACAGTTACATATGTATATATATGTATACATGGAAAAAGAAGGGGAAAAAAAGAGAAACTAGAATGGAAAAGCAGATTCATTTTCAGCCAGCCAAAGAATATGCACCTGCATATTGATAAAGATCAGCATTTATTTAATTTTTATTTACCCTCAATCCATTTAAACTGTATTATCCTCAATATTCCCCACCAAGCTAGCTAGGAACGTCATCTTCATTTTTAAACTTTGTAGTCTTATCTTCAGACTTACTGTTATCTTGTTATGTCTATAAACTTCACCATACAAGCCATAAATAAAATATACAGCACTATATATTTTTTCCACTCTACTGCAACCTATTAATTCTAGTTATTTATTTATAAGCTCCATCAAGCAGCAAAAATGCATTATCAGGAAATGAAAATGAAAATAAAAAGAAGAGAAATCTTAAAATGACATTTTCAGGAAGGTTTTGAAAATATTTTGAGCATGAAATCATGCTTAACACCTCTTCTTCCAGAGCAACTGGATGCAGACCAGATAGGAGCAAGAGACTAGGGCCCATTAGTAGTGATCCAAAACACAATTATCCTCACTTGCATTTGTAAACTCTTCTTTAAGGCTGTAACTGGTAGTGGCGGTGCCGTCCCATGCTGGTGGTAGAGACAATTGGTGGGAAGATGAACTGACATTATTTTTAATTATTGCTTGTTCTCTTTTCATGTTATTTAAAAAATGAGGGATAGATATAGTGGTATCTTTGCCACTCAACAAATATGACATGTGAGGGCGGCTGTTTGACAGAATCGGCGAGTCACGGACCATGGTGCTACAAAACCAATAGGTTGAGGATGCAGATGTCAAAAAAATTAGAACGAGGACCTTTTTGTTACTGTGTGAATTGGTTGGTGACTAATGCTGCAAATTTCCCTTTTTATGTTGGTAATTTCCAATATTCTGAGTTGCTTTATTAGATGCAATTGGTTTAAATAATTTAGAGATGGATTTCCAGAAGTTAGGAGAAAATTCTCTCCACCTAGAGATTTTGCATGTCTCTCTGATCTCCATCTACCAATTTTACCTCTATGGAGACTTTGTACATGTTAAACATTTATTCTTCTACAGAAATAATAAAGCAAATGTCGAATGTTTCACTACAAACTCTGACATGCCTACTTTTGTACTTCTTTCGTTTTCTAGTCTTCCTTGCTGAGAGGAAAATTTTCTCACATTGTCTCACATTGTCAGTGAAATTAATTTTGTTCACCATCAATTTAAATTGAAAGGATTTCTCCTTTTTCACATAAAGTCATAAATAGTTACACCAACCAGAGGCCTTGGATCCACATGGCGAAACACCTTTGGTTATATATGTCAAGAATTAGAAATCTACTAAAATAAGAAACTGTCTCCAAAAACTTCTGTAAAGCAGTTCAGGTGAAAAGGAAATTTTGGCTTCCAAATACTTGACATGCCAAATGTTAGTTATTTCAAGAAGTAAATGATCTGCTTGTGCTCTCCCCAAATTGGCGAAACAAGATGGAACAATTTTTGCAATAGCATGCAGATGTTTGAATTACCTCATCCATGCTAGGATTGACAATAAATTGACCGGAAATCCTCCCAATACGTATTATCCCAATAGGACCACCCCATGGAATATCTGATAACATTAGGGCAGCAGATGTTGCATTAGCAGCCATTACATCTGGATCTTGTTTCCCATCAGAAGAAAGAACACTTGCCATGACCTACAGGAAGGACCAAGCTGAAAAAACAGTAGGACAGCAGGTTCAACAGAAAACAGCTTGGCATCAATTTACTGTCTCATTGTACCTGGACCTCATGGTAGAATCCTGGGGGGAAAAGTGGTCTAATAGGTCGATCAATGAGACGACCACATAAAAGTTCCCGTTCTTTTGGAGCACCCTCCCTCCTCATGAACGTGCCTGGAATAACACCTTGAGCAAACTGTTTCTCTTGATACTCAACCTTACAAAAAGAAAATGTTATGAATCACTTCATAGCCAGCAACAAAATAATTTAACTTCAATCCCATTATTATTTCACGAATTTTCTAACAGCTTAGTCACTAATAGAAAAAGCAGAGTTCTGAAGAAATCTATCAAATCTAATCCCAATGAATTTTCTCATATGTTAAATATAATCCCTATAGTAATCTCCCATTTGTTTCCACAGCAAAATTTGCCCGCATTTCTAATACATAATTCAAAATTAAGACTCCGGAACCTTCATAGGAAATAAAACAGGAACTATGTTAAGCAAATCGAAATTTTCAAATGAGAACAGTAGAAAAGTTAATTCTTTGTTAGACATACAGTGAGGGGCAAAAAATCACGGACGCTATCGCCTTTAGCAGAGGCAACAGTGGAAAGTACTCTGGTCTCTTCCATTGCCAAAACAACCGCGCCGTTTGCGAATCGTGCCATTTTACCTGTTTCTAGTGTAATTTTACGTGATCCAACTTCGAATTCTTCACTGAATGTTTCGAGAATTTTGGTTCCGACTAAGGGTGTGTCAATTTCTGTGGCAGGGGAGGGTGCAGATGACGTGTATGGCGCGAAGCCGATACGACGGCCGCATATGGAGCGGATGTTGAATCGCCTCCGTGATAAGGTTGAGAGGAGTGCATTGGCTTGGCTCGCCACTGGTGCCATGGGACAGTGAGAATGAAAGAGACGTTGGGTGGTTTAGGCCCTCTAGGGTTTAAGTTGGGGGTTTTGCATGTTGGAGTATTGAAAAATCAATCATGTCATGCCTACATCGCCCTTTATATTATTTTTTGCACTTTACACAGTTTAAAATTTTCACACTTTTCACCCTATCAACACTTGTCAATACTTACGAGAAAAGAGTGTACGAGTAATATTTCCTTTGAAAAATATTAGTTGGGGGTTAGGAGTGAAGTTGAGATCGGGTGCATTGTGGTGGAGAAATACCGTAACACTGCTCAATCTGCTCTTGCGTTTTTTTTTTTTTGGAAAATTTTCATTTGTGAAATAATTGTGAGATAAAGTGAATGAAAAACTAATAAAATTAAATTAAAAAAAAAAAAGCCGTTTAGAAATAGTAAGAAGCTTTTGATTTGTTGTTTTTTATTTTTAATTTTGAAACAAATCTAAAATTCATCCGATTCAATAATTTGAAAATATACTTTTAAAAATAAAATTAAATTTATAACATAAAATTCAGAACGTATTTTTAATTTTTTGAATATTTCCAGTGAAAACGTTGAAAACATTCGAAATACAGAAGTGTTAAAATAAAATTTTATTTGAATGAATATATATATATATAATTTAAAATATGTAAATATTGTAAAAAAGTAAATTCTAAAAAACAAAAAATAAATTTTTGAAAAATGAAATGTAAAATTATAACAAATAAAAATTCTCCAAAAATAAATTTCTGAATTTTATAAAATAAAAAATTGTAAAAAAATCAAATTCTTATTGATTATTTAAATAAAAATTCTAAAATTATATTTAAATGAACACAAATAAACATTTTTGTTTACGCCATTAAATTTATTTTTTATTTTATATGTTTTACCCGCTAGTTATTCTATCATTTATATTTATTTTACATTTATATCGATAATAAATAATTGTAAGATTCACCAATGAATTAATACGTCATGTCACGTGCTTAATATAAGATGAACACCGGGTGCTCATTAAATCATTCATCTATGTATGTATATATTAATATAAAATTGATAATATATTAACATAAAATTATTCTATTTTATTGAATATTTAAATTTCATGAAATAAAATATCATAAAATAATTTATCAAAATTTTCAAACAAAACGTTTTTTTTTTTTCAATTTTTTGAATTAAGGAATCATACTTTCAAAACTTCCTAACTTCTTAGTGTCTCTTCAGTTCCATCCTTTAAGCTTCAATTTGGCTCTAAATCTCTTCCTTTTTGCTCAATTTACCTCCAACTCGTTTTTTTTTTTACTTAAAAAAACGCAATATATACACAAATCCGTCCAAAAAATTAAAAATTAAATAAAATGAAGATTTAGATAAACATGTAAAATACTCTTATCAAAAGGAGTTTATGATTTATACCCATTGGTTAGTCATCTCATGATGAAATATCATTGAATTGTTGTTGTGTTGTAGAATGGGCGGACATTCTACCGCACCCTTTATTTTCTAACAAATGGAGTCAATTGATTTGAACGTTGCTCCATTGAGTGGTTCGCCTCTCCGTCTCATAGGGTTGGGGCTACATCTCACTTATCACCTAAATAGTTTACATCTCCAAGTGGTAAAAGGGAAGTGGAAAAACTCTAGCTTTGCTTGAGGCTGCTGTGTCAAGGGTTCGAATCCTGAAATATGGATTTGGTCCTTGGGTAAGTGCAAGTGTACAAGCAGCCTTCCACCCTGTACCCTTGAAGGCATAACCTGCGATTTACCTCCTTCACCAAGACCCAGGGCAGGGCATGTGGGAACCGTTAAGGATACGATTCATCTTTTTTTTTTTTTTAGTTTCACAGGACGTATGCTTGTGATTTGACCAACCTATGTCATTAGTCAAACTCCAAGCAAGATGCACAATGTGACAACAATATATAATGTGACAACAATTTATACATTTGAATACTCGGCAATTTGATATTTAACTTGCAAATATATGTCAATTCTTCATACATTAAATTGTATACACCGAGTCATTAACAAGAAAATTTGACAATTTCTATATGTAAAGATACTTAGCTATCTATTAATGGTATATTTATGCGAGAATGGTACTACACTATTGGACAGTTACAATATAAACAGTTTTTTCACGAATCAAATTTGGCCAACTGGGATGATGTCAAAGATGATGTACATTTTTGGTGTACAAATGGCTTTTCCCTTTTTCTTTAGATTTCCACTTCGAGTTTTCAGATTAGTTACACTCTTACTTGGCTTTAGTTTTACATTCATTCAAAAGTCACTCAACTCCAAACTGTCGAATATGACATGGAATATCTTAGCCCCTATTTGATTTAGATAAAAATCATTTTTTTAGTAGATTTAGATAAAAATTGGTAAAATGTATTGTTAAAAATTTGTGAATAACTGATTAAAATTAATTATTGATTTCGTCTTAAATTTAATTAAAATTTCTAATTGAGGCTTAAAGACAAACACGCAAATTTGTCTAGTTTCTCATTTTTATTCGTAACTCAAATTGCACGTTTCGCATCCTAAGGCTATTTCAGGTTTCAAACAAAAGGCTGCAATCTATTGAAAACTACAAACAGAACGGCAGAACAATTTGCCCCAACCCCCCAGCGTCACTATAAAGCGTAATATTCTGTAATGATCCGTGTCCTGCAAACCGCCATGGCTGGCGCTCTCAATTTATCTTCTTCTTATTCGTCATTCAAAAACCCTAGCTTAGTATCCATTTCCAATCCTAAACTCTTCAATGGAGTATTTTTCAAAACCCGCCTCTGTTTCTCCACTCGAATCTCCAATGCCTCAATTCGCTGCTTTACGTCCAATGCCATTGACAAAGTCCGAGTTCAAAACCCTATTGTCGAAATGGACGGTACTTTTTCGAAATTAAAGAATTAATTGAGACAGCTAATGTATAGATTAATTTGTTCATTTTGTCAATTTTTATTTTTTCATTCGGTGATATTAGGTGATGAAATGACACGAGTCATCTGGAAAATGATCAAAGACAAGGTTTTAGTTCGTTCTTGCGATGTTTTCTTTTGTTATTATTGTTTTAATATATTTATTTGTTTTTTTTTTTTCTGTTATTGGATTGACTGTTATTGCAGTTGATATTTCCATATCTGGAATTGGATGTAAAGTATTTTGATTTAGGGATTTTGAACCGCGATGCCACTGATGACAAAGTTACCGTTGAAAGTGCTGAAGCCACTCTTAAGTACGTAGCTTTCTGGATATTCATCTTCCCGTGTATCTTTTATTTGAGCATTGGACATGCACATGGTATTCAGAATGTTGTCTTCGTGCTTAGTTAATGTAATGTTATAAGATTAACATAAACATGTGACTCCATTTGTTTTTGGTTGTTGACATCTAGCTTGTACTACGGCGAGGGTCAATCGGTACACTGAAATTGAATGTAGTCAGTTTCTCACGTACTCTAAGTCAAAGCAACTACTAGCTCATAGTTATATTTTGATTTGGTGGCCTAGAGCTAGTGCTCACAACCATGCCGATGACTTTATTTTATCTTTCTAGTCCCTGGAAATAGAAGATTTGAAGGAGCATGTGAGAAGAAAGAATTTAGGGATTTGTTGGTCAATTGTGCATTTATTAAAGGGTGGGTGCTTTGGACGAGAAGCAGTACTCCGACAGTAATTTAACTCGGAAAGGAAGGGAAATTTGTAGTACTAGTATAAACTGCATTCCACTGCTTATTTACAAGCGAAACACGTTGAAGATAAAAAGAGAAGAACGCCTCTTTACTTTTGGTCCATCATTTCTTTGGAAACTTCGAGGACTGACTACCAAACAACATCTTATTGATAAAGTAAATCTGAGTACTGTAATAATCTTTAGTGGTGAAATCAACTTTAGTCAATAAAATAGAATTAGAAAAACTCTTGTTCTTGGAATATTCAAGTCATTGTTGATAAAAGAAATAGAAAATAAAAATTAATAAATAGACACGTTACAATAAAATCACAGTATTTTGTTGATCCTTGTGTTTCGTACAAAAATGACTGATGAACCTTGCTTACAACTTATGGATGTGGACACACATAATGCATTCTCATCTTCTCATGATCTATTTGCTACAGGTATAATGTTGCCATAAAATGTGCTACAATTACTCCAGGTCTGGTTCCCTATCTTTTGTTCTTTCCTGATCTCTTGAATGGTACTATTTACTAAGGAAAATAAATTCTCATTATTGCTTGATTGCGCTTTGTTTCAGATGAGACTAGAGTCAAGGAATTTGACCTAAAAGCTACGTGGAGAAGTCCCAATGGCACAATCAGAAACATATTGAATGGTCTGTGTGAAATAAACTTAGTGCCCTGTTATCTCATTGCTAGGTGTAACCATGTGATAATGTTCATTGCTGACTAAAAATATTCATGATATTTTTTCTAGGAACTGTTTTTCGTGAGCCAATCTTGTGCAGCAACATTCCCAGAATTGTTCCTGGTACTTCTGCATCTCCCTCTCTGAATTTAATTAAAATATATTGAATCACCATTGAGTTAATTTAATCCCTTTTTGCAGGCTGGAATAAACCCATTTGTATTGGCAGACATGCCTTTGGTGATCAATACCGTGCCACCGATACAATCATAAAAGGACCTGGAAAACTTAAAATGGTTTTTGGTCAGTTGACTCCATTGTAGTTGTTGTAAGTAAATTTGCCATAAACTGTATCTTTTGAACAAACCATTCTTTACAAATATGTTTCTTCTGTCCATTCCCAGTGCCAGAAAATGGGGAAGGACCCATGGAACTAGATGTCTATGACTTTAAAGGTCCTGGTGTTGCCCTTGCCATGTATAATGTTGATCAGGTTTGTCTCTTACACAGCTCGCCTGCATATTGGATCTTTTCTTATGGCACGTTTATAGTGTTTTGCCTCATCATCTGGATTTTTGTGAATATTTGTCAGTCTATTCGAGCATTTGCAGAATCATCAATGGCAATGGCATTTGCAAAAAAATGGCCTCTATACTTGAGCACTAAGAATACAATTCTTAAGAAGTATGATGGCAGGTAATTTTTTTTGGGAAAAGCTTCTTCAATTATATTAATAAAACTAAGGCCCTGTTTCATAACTTAAAATTTCCATGGAAAATGGAAAATGATTTCCATTTCCACCCATTTGACTTGTTTGATTGGCATTTTTTTTCTAGACAAAATTTTTTCCACTTTACCTCTCCACGCGCCTGATTTCTTGCCAATTGATGAAAAGTTTTTCCCACCTGCCGTTTTTTTTTTTTTTTT